ACAATAACCCAATTTAAAAACAGGCAAAGGGATTTAAACAGGTATTTCTCCAAAGAAAATATATAAGTGGCTAGTAAACAGATGAAAAGATGTTCCCACTAGGATGGCTAAATTAAAAAAAAAAAAAAGACAGTAACAACTGCTGGCAAGTATGTGGAGAAACTGAGAGTCTCAAACCCTGCTGGTTGGAATGTAAAATGGTATGGCCATTTAGGAAAACCATTTGGAAGTTGCTCAAAAGGAAGAATCATAAAGTTAGCATATGACCCAGCAATCTCACTTGTAGGTGTATATCAAAGAGAAATAAAAGCATATATCAACAAAAAAATTTGTAAATGAATGTTCACAGCAGCATCATTCATCATTATCTAAAAGTAGATAACTATTACCTAAAAGTAAATAATGACCACAATTACTGGTCAGATGAAATCTGATGAGACTCCCAATACTATGGCCCTGAAATACATTCGGTGCCTGGAATAAAACTCACCCCCAGGGGTGGGCTCTCAGTCCAAAAGTTAAAAAGATATACACGCAAGACCACTCAACCCAGGATGCCGCACCCACACTCAATGGTAATACATCCCTCAGAGCAACAGACCATGGGACACCAAAGGACCAACATTCAAACTGAGGAAACTCAGGACAAACAGGAGTGCATGATTATGAGGGGCACAGGGGGAGGGTTGCAGGGTAGGGAGGAGAGGAGACTGGGTTAGGGTTGGACATGGCGAATGGGAATGAAACTAAATGTACGTGTTACATTGAATGTAAAAGAAGGTCTTAAAATAAAAATTAAAGTAGAAACAAACCAAATGTCCACTAATGAATGGATAAACAGAATGTGGTATACGTATACAATGGAATATTACTTAACAATAAAAAGGAAAGAAGTGATGATGAATGCTACCACAAGGATAGACCCTAAGACATTATGCTAAGTGAAAGAAGCCACTGACAGAAGCGCAGCTATTGTGCGATCTCACCTATATGAAATGTCAGAACAGAGAAAGCAGATTAGTAGCTGTCAGGTGCTGGTGGGAGGGGAAAATGAAGAGTGACTGCTAGGGGGGATGGGGTTTGTTTCTGGTGATGAAAATGTTCTGAAGTTAGATAATGGTGCTGGTTGTACAACTCTGTGAATATAAAGAAAGAATTCCTGACTTGTATACTTTAGAAGGGTGAAGTTTACAGTATATGAATTGGATCTCAATAAAGCTGTATCAAAAAGGGGGGAAGTTTGGTTAACAGTATGGATCTACTTCATTTGAAATGAGATACCCTATTTTTTTTTTTTTAGAATTCTGTGGTTATTTATATAGGTCAAACTTTAAATACATTGAAAAATAGAAACTACTAATTTGTCTGATGCCAGTAATAAATATCTGGATCAGAAAGAACACTTCTAAGTCAACGACATATAACACATAGCACACTTAGAAGTCAACGATTATCTGTGATGGGGAAACTCTTGACTAGTCTGGAAACTTCTACTGGACAGTAGCTTTCTTAATTCACCTCTCTTCCCCGCACCTAACCCAAGTCCTGCTTCATTGTGTATCACTGAATAAATGCTACGGAACCAAATGCAGGATTGTTCCTTAGTCACATCAGAACAAGCCAGTGAGTGTCCCTTTACCTTTCAAAAGAAAAGGCAAAGGGAAGTGATGGCATCTGTTTTGAGTGCGGCTGGGGAGAAGGTGACATTTTGATTTCCCTTTAATTTTCTCACTCACCTGCCTTTGCTGAAGAGGGACGAGACAATTTCTGGCTGTAGATGTATGCGGCACTTTGGAAAGAGGAAAAGGGGCCAATGGTGTAACTGCCTGATCGACAGCGAGGCAGGCCAGCGGGGCTCGGTATATTGTGTGTCCCAGGATGGATGGCGGGCGCAGCATGGTTTACTGGGTTCAGTAAAACTGATGACTGGTGAGGCATGCTGGCGATAGATGGAGGAATTTGAGATAAAGAATCGTGGCAAGGCCCTGGCGGGAGGTCAGAGGTCGTAGTAGATGACAAACGGGCGCTGGGAATTTTCTGCAGAACAGTAGCAGCAGGACCAGGAAAAGAAGGAGAGGGAGAAGTGGTGTACTCGAATTCAGTCTCTTTTTCTGCTGAAGTGGCAAAGCCTATTAAAACAAAACAAAGCAACAGATCATTTTAGGAAAAACTGATCTAGAGGCCCTACAAAACATGTAGCAAATGTTTCTTAAACCTCAAAATAATCTTAGCATGAAACAAAAATCATGAAAAATACAGACTTATTCATGAGTATTCACCCTGAACGTAACGAATTTTGCCTGCCACAGATGACCTGGCAAATGAGACGGGAGGAGTTTATTTTTGGTCCTTTCTAACCGCTGGAGGTGGGACCTCTACAAAATGGAACAGGCATGCTTTACAAATGCGAGGACATCAGGACATAGTTTCTGGCAATAACTGCCAACTCCTCTCTGTCTTCTTTTCACTTTTCTAGGAAAAAAGAAAGTGCTTTGGATTTCTAAACATTAAGAAAATGAAAACTTCTTTGGAAGGAAAATAGGGTATCAAAAGATGAGAGGAAATTTTAACAAAAGAAATCAAAGTAAATGAATGTTTTTGGTGTAATATTCTCTCAGACGACTTGTGCTTTTTACCTAAACTTGTTTTATTTTAAAAAACAAAACAAACAAACAAAAAACCATGACTTTTAGGGATTTATCAGAGACCAGCAAATCTATGTAAGTTTGAAATCACTCACGAGATAATTCATCAGAATCAATGTCTGTTGCGTTTTGCTGTTGGGGTTCATTTGTTTCTACTTCTTCCACTGTCTCAGGGTGATCTGAAATAAGAGACACAATGCTCAGGCTCTTCCACTAAGCAATGGCAGGGTATTGCTCTATATACAATGAAGTTTCCAAAATATCATACAACTGCTAACCAATGCTGGCAACTACTGCACATCCTAACTGCACGTTTAAAAGAATGGCCATATCCACAGCCTTGTTGAATGGGCAACCAACCAAATGATTCTCAATCATCCCCAGCCTGGTTTCAGCTAAAGGAATCAGGGAAAGGTCTTTAAACCCAAGGCAGCCATCTATGGACTGCCAACAAGCTAGGACATGCCTGGAAAAGAAAGTACATCAGGGGAGTCAGACGTTTGTGCCAGGGATTCAGACAAGGGGAACTAAGAGACTTTGGTGATTGGTGGTATGCACTGAAGCCAAACAGTGAGTATCTATGGAGCATGGGGGCAGCTCCCGAGAGAGACAATGAGCAGCCCCGGTATTTGCTAGCATGACACATGGATGTGACAACAGCTCTGTATCTTGCAGTAAATTCCTCAGTTATATTAGAGGCTGGTTGACTGGGTTTACCTGAGGTCAGCTAATCAGTATATTCACTAACAAAATCACAAGTAGCTATCCCACTACTTCTATTTCAATCACAGGTTTTTTTCTTTTACTGCAGAATTTTGAAAGAGAATAGCCAGAGTTAATCATGTATTAGGGAAATATTCCCAAATCTCTCCCAAGGGTTAAAAAACAAAAAACCCCTTCTTGGGTTTCCGAGGCGCTATCACTACGGAAGTAGATTGCCCAACCTTCCTTCTGAGGAGTGGCTGGTGGGTTTGAACCGCCAGCCTTAGTTAGGCACTACGCTACCAGAGTTCCTCTCTCAAAGATTGGTCACACAGAACCTTGCAAAAAGCCATTTCACAGCGATCAGAATGAAGCAATAAGGACAAATGAATTCTCTTCTCTCCGCTATCACCAGAAATTCTAACACTGCCATGCTTGTTTGCACATGTTTGAAATAAGTCTAATTAACAAATGCCACTGTGTTTCTTCCCTGAGCAAGACTTTTCTACTGTCTCACTAGCTATTCTCGATAGGTATAAAGAGGTACACATCTTCTTATGTAGAAACCAAAACCAAACCCACAACCATCGAGTCGATTCTGACTCATAGCGACCCCTATTGGGTTTCCAAGGCTGTGAGTCTTTTAAGGACACAGAGTGCCTCATCTTCCTCCCAGGGAATAGCTGGTAGGTTTGCAAGCTGACCTTTTGGTTAGCAGCCACATGTCCTACCCACTATGCCACCAGAGCTCCTTCTTATGTAAAGGGAGTCTTTAACTCATGAATCCCAGAACCTCAAGAGACCCATCTTTATGAATAGCTGTGGCCACTCTATACTATTAGGGTTTCCTCATTACTTCCAGGGCAGAAGTTCCTATTTGCATGCCTATCCAGGCTGCCACTTCCCCAGGTGAGACCCCTTTTCTCTGCCCTAACCTCAGCATAAGTATTCCTCAGTTTCCCTTCCCCAACACTCACAGGAACTTTTCAGAGCTTCACCAACATCCTTCCTATGTTAGCTCACCCAGCTTCACCTACCAGACAATAAATTTTATGAAGTCAAAGACTGACAGTTCTGGTCACTGTATCCCTATCAACTATCACAATGCCTGATACATAACAGGTGATCAATAAAAGTGTGTAGAAGGAAGGAAGGAATAAATAAACAGATGAATGAACTAGCTTCGGAACTTAGGAAAGTGAGGAAAGTGCAAAGAAGAGGACTGAATTCAGAAGGACTCCTGATAATACAATGATACAATTATACAGGGAGCTACATAAGCTTTTGTAGACTACTCTGTGGACATTATCAGTTTTTAAAACCTTAATATAACTCACTCCAAACTTTCAATGATTGATTTTCCTGGCTATTTCCACATTAGATTATGAGAGCCTTCAGAGCAGGGAAGACATTTCCATCTTCAAATCTGGCGTTAGCACTCTGACAAAATTAGTTGATGATTACATATGTCTCAGGGTTCCATCTCGGCTTTAAATGATTCTTACAGAGCACAGAGCTTTGTTTATAACAGAATGTAACTGCTATTTTTTGACCATGACGACACGAGCTAGATAGTTTGGACCATATTCAAATCCAAAATCCCCCATCATGGAGTTCCCCAGCAGCGAGAAATTTCTGAAAACGTGTGGAAGCATTCCGAGCTATCACGATGCTAAAGAAAGCTAATGCCATTTAGGGCCTGGGACCATGGATATTCGGTATCCACACAACAAAGAGCTGTCCCACCCAAAGTGCCAGTGGTGCTGAGTGAGAGGAGGCAATAAACTTGACAAGAGGAGGGACAATCACTGGGAGAGCTGAAGAGCAGCGTGACAAGCGCAGGCTCCAGGTCAGTCAGACCAGGGTGCCAATTCCTGTGCGAAGGTCCGAGTGAAGGGTGACCGCGGGGAAGCTACTCAGTCTCTCTCTGTTTCTGTATCCTCATCCACAAAGTCTCACACTAGTGCCTACTCCACACGGTTTTTAGAAGCAAAAAGATCCTGTCCAGCAGATAGCAAGAAAGTGCTCACTCAACATGAACTATTACTGTTAGCTTCTCTTGCAAAGCTCTCTGCTGTTAATCAACATGGGGTGGGGGGAATCAGCCTGTGCCTCCTCTGCTTTTAGAGCGAAAATGTAATCCGTGCCCCTGCAAATGCCCTCCCAGTCTCACTACTGTCAAGTCTAGTAGTGCTTAGGCAGTACATAATTCTGGGCTCCTCTCTGTGGATCTCCTTTTTTCATTTGTTCTTCTCATTTCTCATTAATCAACTAGCACACTTACCACCTTTTGCCCCGTTATCAGAACAACTGCTGCTGTCCTTAGAGCTTTTGGAGTGAGTCCCCAGGAACACACTTGCAGACTTGTTTTTTTGGGTATAAAAAGTCAACACTTCTTCCAGTTCAGCCTCACTGAAATGAGGAGAAAAAGTATGGTCAGAACAGGAAGCTGTTCTGGAAAATATCTTTCCACTAAGATTTTATTATGGAAACGGAGCAAGCCGGAGAAGGGGAAAATGAAAGGCACAGGCTGAAAACTCCCCTTTAATGTGTGGTTAAAACAGAACAAAAATGAAAGAAGGTCCGAAAGGTTTAAACATGATAATGCTTGATCCATCCCACAGTTAATTTTCTAGATCCCGACTCTCCAATAAGACAGCCATGAGTCAAATGTGACAAATGAAATGAAAACTAAACAAAATTAAAATCTCTGCTCCTCAGTCACACTCGCCACATTCCAAGAGCTCAGGAGCCACACTGCAGAAAGCAGCCATGTTTTGGGTCACTAGGCAGCCACACCTGACCCCACAGCCTGTTCTTGTATGCTCCCCCAGCCAAGAAAAGTTTTTATATTCTGAAAGAATATGTGACAAAGATCATACGCAGCCTGCGAAACCTGAACTATGTATCGCTTGGCTCTCTGCAGTTTGCCCAATCCTATTCTAGCACTGAAATATATTCACTAAAGAAGACACATGCATTTTAACTACCTATGTCAGAAATAAGGAGACCCACCAGTGTAACCTCGGAGTAGTTCCCTAACTACCTGTGCAATGAAGGAGACCACACTAGATGATCTCTAAGATCATTTCAAATTATTGAAATATCTGCTCTTTATGAAAATCCACAAAATATAAAGTATAAGAAAAGAGACAAAGGCCTATGGGATCTTTCCTGTAAACACTGTATGCGTGGATTTTGTGATATCTACTGTGGCTTCTCAATGATCTTTTTCATTTTTTTCCTAGAACTTGTCTATGGTGTAGATAGCTGGCCTTCAAGTAAGTGAAGCATTCCTGCATTACAGAAAGAACCCTAAACCTGGCTCCTGTCTTCAGAAGGCGCTCTAGTGAAACCCTGGGAAACTGTCTCTGAGTCCCAGAACAAACCCGAAGGTCTCCAAAGTAGTTAAGAGCCACAATGGGAGGACCTCAGGTAACTCTCAAAGATCTAAGCTGAGGTTTCAAGGTGGCAGTTACCTCTGCCTGTCCATGTGTTTTATTTGGCCCCCCACAGGATATTAAAAGGTAAAGGTTAAGGTTGGTCAGGATATAAGCTGCTTTATCTATTGTCTTAGCCTCTCCCTACTTCCTAAGCTGTTAGCTTCCTGACTCCTGCATGTGGTTGAATTTACCAAGCCTGACCAAGGTCCTCACGTGTCTGCTCCAAACTTCATAAAAGAAGAACTGATGCTATCACGTATTTCCCAATAATCAACATTTAATCCGCAATCAGTGGTAAATATGTTCCAACTTATTTTATCTCCAAATCAGTATCTTTAGCTGAAAACACACAGAGATCATCTTAGTATCCAACTAGACTTGGACAGGAGAATGCACAGCACTTTCAAAAAGGTTTTCATTTTCATTTGCTGTATTTTAAGAGAGTTTGAAAATCCATGAGAGGAACCAGACACTATTTGTTTTTTTTAGCTTTAAAGGTAGAGCCATTTTCTAAACATAATCCAGTCTTTTTCCTTTTCTAAACGTAAAATGTTGATGTGGAAAATGGTTTCTTGCTTTGTTTCTGTACTCGCTTTATCAATCATATTAATCAAGACCAAAACATGTCAACAAAGTAATATTACACAGTTAGGGACTCTTATAAAATGATGTATCTGCTATGTGTTTAAGCGTGTGATACCGAGGCTGCAGTTAGATCCACCCACAGTACTGAACAAAGGTCCCACTGCGCTGGTCACCAATGAAGCACACCGCCTGAATTCACTTCACAGATCAACCAGAGTTTATTTTCCGAGGCTTTTCTCCCACTGTGACTTTGATGACTGAAGCCCAATTAAGAGGGTTTAAACAGATGTCCCCCCCCCCATTTCAGTGGTTTTGCAAACTCTCTGGTTTAGAAAAAGACCTTCCAGTATGAATTGTACAAAATTTAAAACTAAATACCTTTATTACCTTTTCTTTTGGAAACACTGTCAATGCACAAATGACTTGGCTGACGTCTGTCAGGACAGAAAGCTGAACGCTGAGATTTCAATCCCCAAAGACTATGAGCATGAAAGACTTGCTCTATGCTATGTAAATTAGGCGTAACTCTCACAGTGCTGAGAAATGGCCAACTCCTCAACCTATTCAATGGTGGCAAATTTTGGTCATCACCACTACATCAACAGGTGAGGGATAAACTCAGGACCAGTAAAACACTTGAAGCCTCTAACCTCAACTTCCCAAAAAGCTCTCTCAGTGCTTCAAGTGGTGTCTATTTTGAAGCCTGTTTGGAAATACAGCCCAGATACCTAGCAGCAGTGTTTTGATAACTGAAACCATGACAACAGCAACATAACTGGCTAAAATTTGGAGAGGTCCAACCCTATAAAATCCTTTCCCCTTCTGAGAGTTATTTGACTCATGTATTTATGTGTTGGAAACAAGGGAATCCTGGGAGTTCAATGAGGGCAGTCTGAGAGACGGAAGGCAACGGCTTGATTCACAAGAAAGTCCTCTACCTTGCTTGTCTGATGAACTCTTCAAAGTTTTCTGCGTTCACCCCATCTTCTTCTTCTTCCTCAAGTTTCTTCTTCAATTTCCTTTCAGCCATTTGTTCTGTTTCCTACCCATTCCCCAAACCCCACAGAAAAGCAACAAGATAAAACTGACTCCTGATAAATGTACACTTTATTGTCTAGTTTCATTACCTTTGAGTGAATTTACCTTTAAAGACAGTTAATTCTTCACCATAGTCTGCAATCTGTAAATGTGATGTTATTTTCTATCATTATTTCATGAAACATTTGAGATTTCCAACTAAAAGTTGCAGAATGAATGTAAATCTCTATCATGTTTTCACTTTCTACTGCTTTCAATAGCCCATTGAAAGGAGAACTCTCTATCTATAGTAGCTTATTATTGTCTGTCATCCTATTTGCAGCTCTGGCAGTTTAACAATAGTGATACTGTATTTTGTTGCAATTAAGGGAAAGACAGGTCTTGAAAGATACTCTATTACTAACATCCGAACTGAGTAAATTATTCACTTACACAAAGCATAACAATATTCTCAACAGATCTGTGAATCTGTAGACTGTAGATATGGACTGGGCAATCTACTTCCATAACAATTTATCACCTCAGAAAACCAATGGGGATCACTGAGTCAGAACTGACTCAATGGCAGTGAGTTTGGTTTTTGGTTTGATGGTAAAATGCAACCAGTATATACAAAGATTCAGAGAAGAAAGTGTAACTCTCACCACAAAGGAGAGTATGTCATTATAAAATCCACAACTGAAATTTGCTCAGTCAACTCCCCATTGTCTACAGGCACAACAAGGTAAATTATTTATACAGCCTAGGATTCATCTCAAACGTGGAAGAACTCAAAAGGAACGTGCCTTTTAGTAAGCGTTAACTATGGCCACAGGGCCTTCCAAAGTACCAAGCAGCTTTTCAGACCAGTTAACTTCAGTGAACTGTTATGCTTCCCATGACAGGAACACCCAGGGGATGATGCTGTTGGAGCAGGACCTCTCCACTCACTTGGACAGAGGCTTGTTGTCTGCTTCTGACAGTGTGTAGCAATCCAAAACACAAGGCTAACCAATAAACCACTTACCTTGTTATACATAAAAATAAAGTCAGCCAGGTGCTTGGCCAGGGCTCTCCTGCGTTCCAGAAGTGCCAGTCGTTGACTGGGGAGCGACACACCCAGTGAATGCTGGAGGTTGCTTGACGCTCGCTTAAGGAAACGAACCACCAACTCCTATAAATTAAAGAGCCAGGAGGGAAAAAAGCAGAGATCGTACTAAGCAATAGAAGATAAACTATGTAGTCATTAGGGCAATAGAGCTATGAGAAGATCTGTATTATGTAGAAGAGGTATAGATTTCAACAAATAAGCCATGTATTGCCATAAAGAAAACATATTATATATAAGAAAATATAGAAAAACAAAACAAAACCTAATTTCCTCTCTTTTCCTCAATAAATGAGCAATCAAAAAAGTATGCAAATAACTATGTGATAAAATAGTAGCTATAAAAAGTACCATAATACATATCTAAATCTATTATAACAAGTCAAAGAGTAGGTATCATTTCTGATAGTGTGAACAAAGAAAGCTATTTAAGGAAGGTTGCATTCAAGGAGAGGTAGTAGAAACTAAAACCATGGGAGTACATAAAATCCAAGGTGAGAAGGTAGACTAAGAATACAGAACTATTCATACTTAGGGGTAGGAAAGAGGAGAAATAATCAGGAGAAAGCAGGGAAGCAACATCAGAAAAGTTAGAAAGAAATCCAGGAGAAAATTGTGTGATGGAAACCAAGGGAAGAAAGAGCTCCCATGTCAAACGCTCCCAAGAGGCTGGAGAGGACCCTTGATGTGTCCATTAGAAGACAATTTTGAGAAAACAATTTCTGTAGAATAAAGGAGGTAGAAGTAAGAAATGCATGGGAAAAGAAGGATATAGGTGAAGTGCAGAAATGACTAATTTGATAAAGGGAACAATAAAACTGGCATAGTAGCTTGAAAGGTGATAGTTTTCTTCTTCTTTCTCAAGGATAGGGTGCTTTGAGAGTTGGGGGTTGGCAAGGAGGGCAAAGTAGAAGATCATTAAGAGGCACTAAGAATACATCTATTTGCCGAGGGACCAAAACATGTGAGATCTGAGCAGACACCAATTGGATCATTCGTAACATCACAAATGCTTCAAGGAAAGGTTTTGCAAGGCCAAGGGTCTTAAAGATATGTGTCTTAAACATTAAAATTGTCTAACAGTGACAGCTTTTGGTAAATTCTGTTGATGTGCCTTCTGTGTGTTTGTGATAAAGAATCTCTAAAGATTAAAGTTGTTGAGGATTTCATTTTACTTGGACTCACAATCAACATCCATAAAAGCAGCAGTCAACAAATCAAAATACGTACTGCATTGGGCAAATCTGCTGCAAAAGACCTCTTGAAAGAGCAGAGAATTCCCCCTGAAGACTAAGATGTGCCTGGCCCAAGCCATGGTATTTTCAATACCCCCATATGCATGTGAAAGCTGGACAACAAATAAGGAAGAGAGCAGAAGAACTGCCACATATGAAGTGTGGTGCTGGCGAAGAATATGAAATGTACCATAGAATGCTCGTTGCTGTTGTTGTTGTCAGGTGCTGTACAGTCAGCTCTGACTCATGGCAACCCTATCTGCAACAAAATGAAACACTGCCCGGTTCTGTGGCAGCCTCACAATCCTTGCTACACATGAGCCATCAATGCAGACACTGTGTCAATCCATCTCAATAAGGGCCTTCCCCTTTTTCGCTGACCTTCCACTTCTCCAGGGAAAGGTCCCTTCTGACAACATGACCAAAATAGTTGAGATGAAGTCTGGCCTTCTCATTTCCAAGGAGCATTCTGGCTGCACTTCTTCCAGGACAGATTTGTTAGTTCTTCTGACAGTCCATGGTGCTTTCAGTATTCTTCACCAACACCACAACTCAAAAACATCAACTCTTCTTCATTGTTACTCATTATCCAGCTTTCACATGCATAAGAGGCGACTGAAAGTACCATGGCTTGGGTGAGGTGCACCTTAGTCTTCAAAGAGACATCTCTGCTTTTTGGCACTTTAATAAAGAGACCTTTTGCAGCAGGATTGCCCAGTGCAATATGATGTGTGATTCTTGACTTCTGCTTTCATGGATGTTGATTATGCATCCAAGTAATATGAAATCCCTGACAACTTCAACCTTTTCTCCACCGATTGTGATGCTGCTTATTGGTTCAGTTGTGAGGATTTTTGTTTTCTTTAGGTTGAGGTGTAATCCAATGTACCATGGACTGTCAGAAGAACGAACAAATCTGTCTTGGAGGAAGTGTAGCCGGAATATTCTTTAGAAGCAAGAATGGGCCAGATGTCACTTCTTGTACTTTGGTCATGTTGTCAGAAGGAACCAGTCTCTGGAAAAGGAGATCAAGCTTGGTAAAGCAGAGGATCAGTGAAAAAAGGCAGATCTTCAATGAGATGGACTGACACAGTGGTTACAATGACGGGCTCCAGCATGGCGACGACTGGGAGGTTGGCACACAACCGTACAGCATTTTGTTCGGTTGCACATACGGTTGCTGTGAGTCAGAACCATCTCAATGGAACCTAAGACAACAACCTTAACCTGCACTGGAGAGGGCAATGTCACATCCACCTTCTTCATAAGTAAGAAGAATGCCAACAATCATCATGGAAGGTGCTAGGGTTTGCTCTCTAGATAGATCTTCAAAAAGGAATTCATGTAACTATTATTAAGTTTTGCAGTGATCATCCTAAATATCCTTGAAGAAAGCCTCCACAGAAATCCTGTGGGAATTCCAAGTCAGCATTTGCAATAGCTCCTCTCTTCTGAGCTATTTTCTTCTTCTTGAATTTGATTTTGGCTCACTGTCCTTTAGTGCCAATTTACTCCAAAGGGTTGGATTTCACAGTTCTACTCAGCCGTCTTTACTATAGGGTGGTTTAAGCTGTTATATTAAAACATTTTTTTTTTTTTTTCACAGTGGGGCAGACAAACTGACTCTTGAAAAGGCAGTTTCAATTTTCCACTTGGAAACAGCAGAGCTAACATTTTCCACTGATGGTTGAAGGATTATTCACAACATACAAGGTTTTATCTCTGGGCTGCATTGGCTACTTTAAATTCACAAGTTGCTTTTTCTAATAATCCTGGCATAAAAACCTGCCTTTTGTATGTGGAGAACTAAAAATTACAATAGAGTCACTGCTGAATTGAATGAAGAAAGCAGCTTTCTCAGCTGTAAAGGTCCCTCTCTTTCTGGTGACCAATCCCTGCTGCTTCCAGGGCCGTGGCTCCTGCCATAAACTTTGACCTGTCCAAGAGCTTGAAGCTCCCGTCACTCTTATCCAAAAGAAAAATCTCATGAGAATAGTACATCCCAGGAATGTTTAGAGATACAGTAAAAATTATTATTCCAGCAGTACAATAAAGATAGACGAGTTTGATTCCAGGGATCTAAGAATTTTATAAAGTTATACTTGAGTTGTTGTTGTTGTTATTTGTTGTCGAGTCGGCCCTGACTCATAGCGAACCCTCCTTGGGTTTCCGAGGCAGTATCACTACGGAAGTAGGATTGCCCAACCTTCCTTCCGAGGAGTGGCTGGTGGGTTTGAACCGCCAGCCTTCTGGTTAGCAGTCAAGTAAAAAAAAGCTAAGTTGAAGGATGCAGCATTCTAGGAGAGCCTATGATATATAAGACGCTGACTTTCTGGAGCTAACTCGACCCCTTGGGACTCAAAATCTATGCCCATGGTGCATGAAAACAATGGAAGAGTAAGTGATTTCAATGATAACATCTGGATCCAATTCCAGTTTGCCCACAGACAAAGCTGTGAAACAACAGGCAAGTTAACCCTGTTCTCTGAGCCTTTGTTTTCTCCTGTCAAATGAGGATGCTAATGTCTACTTCAGAGAGTTAATAAAATGTGAGGATGCTTGACAGAGGACTGTGTAAACTGTTATTTTTTTCTGAGGGCTTTGCTTAGGGACTCACATCAAATGAACAATCAGTTTCCATGATCAGAATGAAATAAATGGATGCCCTCACTACAGATGACAAACATGGCTCCAGATCAATGATTCACTTCACTTCACATTAAAGTAAGAGAAATCTGTAATAATTCTTTCACCAGAATATATTGCTCTACTACTCTTAACTCTAAAAGAGAGAGAGAATGAGATGGGGGAGGGGGGGAGAGAGAGAGAGAGAGAAAGGGAAAGTAGAAAGTATCCAACAAGAAGAGCCTCACCATCTGTTCATCCTCTTTGGCAGCCCAACTGGCACTGAACGTTTGACCTCCACTGTCTTTCATCAGGCGCATTTGAACATGCTGGAGATAGGCAGAGAATGCTATTCGGGCCTGCACTTTGCTATGGAAATCCAAAACAACATATTGTTACAAGACAGAATGGCCAGCCTACCGCATGTGTACTTGCCTGTCTCAAACTGTCCTTTGAGGATCTTTTTATTAGGACAGCTAAGAAATATGAAGTCCATCAAACAGTCACTGAGTGGATTCCTTCTAGATTGCACATGAATTTGATCCCCCTCCCCCAATTAAAAGAAGCGGAGATAGAGCTTCCTATATATTTTCTCATTGGAAAAAAAAAAAAAAAAAAACCAACCCTAGATAATCAGGTTTCCTACTGTTAGACCTTATTCTTTGAACTTCTAAACCACTTCCTTGGGGGAACAGATAGAAGTACTGAATCTTCACAAGAACTCTGCATTAATGTGGAAAGGTTTTCTGCCTTGGAGGCCCTTAAGAACATACTTATCAGTTAGTGCAAAAGTATGGATTTTGCTATGGCAACTAGTATTTTTGGTGCGCAGAAGTCTCCAAGGCAGGAAATAGATAAATCCTACAAAGTAACTTTTGAGACCAAATGTTAAGGTCATGCTTTTCTCAACTAAAATTTGGGAGTGGCTGGAGCCCAGAACAGATGAGTGAGGTCCAACAGAGTTTGGCACAGATGAACTGCGAGACCAGGACAGGCCCAGATGTTCAGTGAGAGAAACCCTTAAGTATAGAGAAAAAGCACCTCAGTGACACACTGAAGAACCCAGTGGCCTTCTGCTTGGCAGTCTAAGGTGGAAACAAGGAAATGTGATGAAGTTGTAGTTTGAAGACAGAAGTACCAGAGAGACACTGATGATTTTTCACTTCAGCTGTTAACTGTAGCAGATCTGTTTTCTTTCAGGCTAGATTTTGGTTACTTCAGCTGATCGGCCTCCTGACACTGTAGCCAAAATTACATCAGCGAAGATTAGGGCCCAACACAAACTTTGTTTATAATCCTCACACATGCAATCACTGAATGCTTTCTACTCACTGTTCCCAAGGTTAGGATGAAGGATTTGTCCAGAGTGAACTGGACACCCTCAGTAGGCCTAGCGTCCATGCTGGAGGGATCAGAGGGAAGGGGCGTCAGGTTGGGCAGGAGATTTGTTTTTGAGAGTTTACTACACGTGACCTTTGGAACATGAACTATACATGACAGAAGGAGAGATCTTTGTTACTCAGAGGACGGTTCACTGGAGCACAGCATGACTTTGAAACAATCCATTTATATTTTCAAATGTTTCTCAACAGGACAAGAATTATGTTCTTGATCACCTGGGACCATATACATCTTTCCCTTCCACCATTCTAATGAACTTCACCTCTGTTAACAAATTATTTCAAGTCAGAATAAATGAAAAAGATCTTCAATTTTGGTCAACAAATTCACTTGCAACGTAATGATGTAGAAGTGGCATGTTTCAGACACCTCCAAACGTGGCAGAAGACCCAATTTCACTGATTAGTCCTAATACAACTCGACGGCACATAACAACAGCAACAAGTCCCTAATACTGAAACACAAAGGTCTTTCGGATGAGGGGACTGTGCTTATAAATTGAGATTTCAATGTCAATGTTGCAAATCAAATGAACAAGTGCTGGGTTTCCCACTGCTATGAAGCTGATAAAGAAGATCCCTGGCATGTTAACTCTTGAGGGTCTCCCTAAGGCATGGGGCACACTGATCAGCTACTCATCTGCAACAAAAACGAGATGACAGAATGAAAACCACGATTTACACTGAAGGAACCTATTTTTTTTAAAAAAAATAAAAGCTTATGTGGATCCTCAGCATGGTATTATAAAACATATGACTGGGGGCCTAGAGCCCAAAGTCCTTGCCATAGACCTTCCCCTGACCCCTCAGCAGTACCGGGATGTGCCGCAGGACCATAGGCAGCCGCTGGGAACTGTCTGAACACCAATGATTTATTTATATAAATAAACAGTTTACTGCACTGATAACAGTTTACTCTCTGTAAATGAGATCCATAAAATATATGAAGAAACAATTCTTCAATAGCTAAGTGGAATGTTATTCCTGGAAAGAGTCTTAGAATATAGTGCAGTGGTTTTCAAATATTTTGTTTTCAATTTTTCCCCTGCAGAAGCACAGTTCAGAAAACTCATCTCATCTCATCTCATACTGTAGCTTGACATAAAAGGAAACTGAGGCCTAGAGAAGTCCTGTGACTTCCCCATGATCACACAGCCAGGGGGCCACACTAAAATGGCCAGAGCCCAGGTCTCTTGATTGAGTTTGGTGTGCTCTCTGCTAATGTAGCTGTTCTCGCCTCTGCAACACTGTTTCAAACCTTAAGTCTACTCCCCAAGGCCCTTAAACCTCAATGTCACCCTGCACCCTCTCAGGACAAGAACCAGCTTCTAGCTTAACTGAGAAAATCAAGGCCTCAAGCATAAACCCCTAAACATCTGTTCTCTTCAACTTTAACTACTGTCTTCATCCCATATAGTCTTTTCTTTCCTGACTTCTTCAAATACCCCTCCACTGGCCTTTTTCCACCTTCCTTTGGGATCCCTCTCCATCAATATATCCATTTCTGTATCGGTATTCCTTGTCATAAAATCCTTACCCTATAACTAAGCTCCAGAATTCGTATCTTAAAGGAAATTCCCTTCCCTTAGTTTGCTCTCTCCCTGATGATTTCTCACCTTTCTTTCATTGCCAAATCCTCTGAAAGAGTTAGTTGACACTCGCTTTCTTATTTCCTCAGCTCACAACTGTCTTCCCAGTCTACCTCAGGTCACACACCCAGGCGTCTGCTTTCACTCCGCATCCTCACCTGAGGTATCCCAGGCACTCTGCAGACCTGAAGCTCTCATCGTGTAGCTCTGCCATACTGCTCCCTCCCACTCTTATGCCTACCTATCTACCTATTATTTCTTGGTCTCTTTGAGGACCCACTAAACATTGGTGTTTCCAAGGGTTTAATTCTCTTCCTTTTCTCCTTGTCTACACTTGTTGAACTAAACTGAGTTGGACAAACTCATACATTCAGAAGGCTTTAACCATCAACTGTACAACCAATTTAACCCTGACCTACAACACTATATTGTCACCTGTCTACTGGGCATCTTTATCCCAGAGAACCTCCACCTCACAGTGTCCCAAGTGAAACACATTTTTTCTATTTTGAAACCAACACTTATGTTCCTTATGCTGACTAAAGGCACCATTAAGTTGCCAAATTTGGAAAAGTCAGTCTCTTTGGAATTCTTACATCTATTAGGAAAAAAAAAAAAAACCTGAACTCACTGAGTTGGTTCCAACTCATGGCAACCCCTCCTTGGGCTTCCGAGGGGGCATCACTACAGAAGTAGATTGTCCAACCTACCTTCTGAGGAATGGCTGGTGGCTTTGAACCGTCAGCCTTCTAGTTAGCAGTCAAGTGCCTTAGGCACACCACCAGAGCTCCTCAATCAGAGACCAAGGCCTGTCGATTTACTTTGCAAATGGCACGAGGTCCATCCATTTTCTCCACTCCCACAGCCAGAGCTCTGGTCAAGGCCTTCCTCTTGTTGGCTCTGGACTACTCTAACAATCCTCTGCTCGCCTCCCTGCCTTTAGTTTCTCTGTTGAGTAATCACTATTCCACACTGCAACCAGAACTCACTTTCTAAAGCAAGTTCTAGCCATATCACTTATCTGCTTAAAAATGAGCCCATCTGAACAATAAAGCCCAAGCTCCTCTTATGGTCTTATACTTTAACAACATCCAAGTTCAGCCTCATTTCTTACTATGCTTTTTTCTCCATGAAATTTCTATCACTCTAACCTGTATTTCTCAAATATGCCAAGCTCACTCCAATTTCAAGGCCTTAGTACTTGCTGTTTTGCTGAGCACAATTCTGCCCCGATAGTCACATTACTTACGCCATTCAGGACTCACCCTAAAGGTTACCTTTCATGGTCTCCAATCACCACAGTCAAAAGTAACCTCTACTCGATGACTCTCTAACACTTCAGAGTTATTTATTTTTCAAATTGCATTCTGAGCACTTCTTGCTGCCTGAAGTCCCCTTGCCTATTTCCTATCTGTCTTCCACACTGGACTTTCAGCTCCATGAGCCTTTCTTGTCCCTTGCTGCAACATTACACAGCCTAGCACAAGTCTTGGCACAGAGCAGGCACTCAATAAGTATTGGTTGAGAGACTGAATGAATGACTGTATTCTCACACTTCTATGCCTTTACTTCCTCTACTTAGCACTCCCCATGCCTACCTGTCCCTTCCCAAATCTCCTGAAATCTTACTCATCAGTCAAGGCTTGGTTCAACATGCCTTTCTAACTGTCCTAAGAGTAAGACCAATTACTACTTTTTCTCCGTTCTACAAGCACTTTAAGCAGCTGTGGTAGAGCAGTGGTTAAACCCTTGGCTACTAACTGAAAGGTCAGCAGTTCGAACCCACCAGTCACTTTGCAGGAGAAAGATGCAACAGTCTGCTTCCATAAAGATTTACAGCCAAGGAAACCCTAACAGGCAGTTCTACCTTATCCTACAGTGTCGCTTAAGTTGGATTCAACTTGACAGCAATGGGTTTGGTTGGAAGAGCACTTTGCTATGCTGGGGTCACAGCTCTAGCTCTTTAAGTGTCTTCCACACGAGCTCTATGTCTCAGTCTCCTTATGATATGAGTGATCAACACTAATAAAAACCAAAACCAAACCAGCTGCTATCAGGTCGATGCTGACTCATGGTGACCCCATGTGCGACAGAGAATTGTTTTCCATAGCTAATTTTTTCAGAAGTAGATTGTCAGACCTTTCTTCCAAGGTGCCTGTGGGTGGACCCAACCTGCCAGTAGCAGCTAAGCACTTAACTGGGACCTAGGGACAAATGACACTAATACCCAACAAATATTTGGTGGGCCAGTGAGAACTGGGTTTGTATCACAGCTCTGCCTTGGACGAGTTATTTGACTACCCTAAGGCTCAGTTTCCTTAATTACAGCAATATCCAATCACAGCCATTACTTCATAGGACTGCTGTGAATATTATATTTAAAAAAATGGCTATTAAGCCATTAGCATGTACCTGGCCAACTACTATCAGTATTGTGATAATAATTATAAAAGGCACATACCTAAGATTTCCATTATCTTGTAGAATCTGCATCAGGTTAAATGGAGGCTCTGGCTCCTGAGACCCAGCTTTGCAGCTCTGTTCCCCTTTATTATTCCAGTCAGGAACTTTCAAAGCAGTTTCTCTGGGTGAATTTTCCACCAGAACGGTCAGTGAGGATGGGTACTTGGCTTGATTTTCTCCAAGGGGCCCTGCAGACTCCTCCAGGGAAGATTCCTGCTCTTCATCTTCATTGTCTATTGCAGCGTCTTCCTCCTCTTCACTCTCTGTCTCAGTTTTAACATTCATTTCAGCTGGCTGGGTAGTCACTAAATGCGAAGAATCACTAATGTTGCTGAAAAAAGGATTAAATTTTCCTCTCTCCCAATACCTTTATCTTTTTTCATAAAAAAGCATTTCCAAACCAGACCGCACACAAGGCACAAAGGTAGTATCATGTACATCACTCTCCAAACTTATATATTTTGAGAACCTATTAATGATCCTCAATAGTGTCAATGTTTCTCTGCATAATACAAATGGCTCTCTCACAACGTAAAGCCAAAAAAAAAAAAAAATCTTAGTTGAGTAATTGCTACAGTGTGCTAGAGACTTGTAGAAGGGCACCCTCCCCTCATTGTAAATTCTGTGAGGACCACATCTTTCTTATTCATCAGTGTAAATCTGGTGAGGAACACGGTGCCTGACACAACGGCTCAGCAAAGGAGTCAAAGAAGAAAAAAAGTCAGTCAGGCAGTGACAAACAGACCTGCGGGAACAGGGAAGAATCTGGGATAGCAAGAAACTCCCCTTTGTTCACATTTGAAGTGTTTACTCTATTTAGCAATGCCAAAGGATAAACTGGGCTTAATGCCTAATCATAAAAACCTGAACAATAATGCTCAGGATTCACTCAACTTAAGCCAATAATCTATCCAGAGTATCAAGTATTTACATGATGCTGAAATAAGAGCAAAAGCCAAGATGTGTGGGCTTCAGATGCTCTTCAATACAAATATTATAGAACAGAAGGTTGAAAACCATAATCCTTGGGAAATTAAGTTTCAGAGAAAAAGGCTACAAGAAAAAAATTAAGTATCTATGACCAAGGAGATTCTGACTCATTAGGTAGTGATCAGGAAATTCGTCAACACAGCCTCGCAGGGCCCGGGTCACAGAGTGCGAATGAAGCTAACCACAAGCTCACCAGCAGCACGTACCTTGGTATTTTGGCCTCATTGTTTTCAATCTGCCACCTCTGCGTCTACGTTTTCGCACCTCTAGAGACAGCAGCTTCCTCTCATAAAGGGCAGCATGCAGCTTGGCCTTTGAATTCATACTCTCTATCTTCAACTCTGGTGCGCCATCAGAAGCCAGTCTAAAGGAAAAAGAATATGGCAGTTACGGCCTTCCGGAATGTCTCTTCTATTACACTGCCAAGCACGACAGAATTCTGTGACGACAGACTAGGAATGGCAATTCTAGTGAACTCTAAAAGGTCTGACAGATAAATGGGTGGGAATATTGAAATCTACGTTGAAACCTCACTGATGCTCTTTGTTGGTTACCAGGGGTAGGAAGGGAGGGCAGGGATGAAAAAAAAAAAAAAAAAAACCCAAAACCTTGCTAATGGCCTGTCTGAATTTGTAAAAAAATCTGAGCAAAGATGTAGTAAAGACAACATTTAAGTACTTTTAAATACTCAGCAATACAGCTATTACTTTATTCTGGGGATCATAAAGTGTCACCTTAAAATGACAAAGAATTATTATTAACATATTAACTCTTAAGCTGGGTAGTGGCAAGAGATGTTTGTTTGTTATTAATTGTATTTTATCAAACCCATTGCCATCGAGTCAATTCTGACTCATAATGACCCTACCAGGCACGGAGGAGCTGCTCAGTAAAGTTTCCAAGGTTGTAACCTCTGAGGAAGCAGACTGCCACATCATTCTCCTGCGGAGTGGCTGGTGGGTTTGAACTACTGACCTTCTGGTTAGCAGCCGAGCACCTAACCATTGTGCTACCAAGGCTTTTATGTTATAAACATCTGTTTGAATGTGTATAATATTTAATAAATACAAATTGAGTGAAAGCTGAGATGCAGGGAGGCATGGTTTATAATCTGTGAATATGGAGATGAGATGCTAAGAGTCACAGGCGAAGTGTCTAAGTAAAAAGTTACCATCACCTAGGGACGCATCAAGCCTCATGCATTCCAACATGTGGACCTGCCAAGGCTCCTGTTCTTCCTTTAGACACTAATTAGCTATAGGAGGAGGTAGGGAGAGGGGCAGGGACTATCCAAGTGTTGAATACCACTCAGGAGTTAAGAGTCAGAGGCCAAGACAAGGTGGAAGGTGTGGAATCACCTTGCAAAAAGCAATTTGGTCATTGTTCTTGGTTCTTTAGAGCCATACCAACACCTGAGGCTAATGAGTGGGGGCTGACTAGAATAAGAGGGACCTGGGGGCTGATGCTGACTAAACTCAGGAGGCCTATTACAATCTTTCTTGGCCAGTGTACTGAGGCTGATAAGAACCTTGAACTCTGAGGGTCAGACAGAGCTTCCTGCTTGGTGACCATGCATGAGACAGGGTAGGGCATTCTCTGTGGGGACATGGAAGCTCCACACTGACTCCTCCCAGACCTCACCCTATATGTCTCTTCATGTGTATATTTTTTTAGTTAATTAAGTTGCAGCCATAAGCATGGCACATTTTCTGTGAGATTATGTGAGTCATTCAAGTGAATTAATGAACCTACAGACACAGTGAGAGCTAGAAAGGGTTTGTATCGACCTATATGGCAGTCTAGAAGAAAATATCTAACGTGTGAGCTCTGACCTAGCTCAGGGTACCCAGGGCTGAAAGACAGTGTCCTTCTAACTTCTGAGCTCTGCCGAATCTCTGGGTGGCTGGGACTGAGAGTGTGCCATGTGCACAGCTGGTGATGAGGATGGGAAAGTGGGAAGGTGAGGACACGATCCATTTCTACACTTCAGCAATTGTATTCTGCTGATCCTTACCACATAGTAGCAATGAAGGTAGGATTTGCCCATTGTGCCCCTGGTTTAATGCACAAGGGCAGGCAACAGGTGAAGGACAAGGCCAAATTCAAGTATGTCATGAATGGGAAAAGGGGTGGGGAGGAGGGGATGGCAGCAGCAACATTAGGCATTAGCTAAAGTAAGTTAAATCTTAAATTAGGGAAGTGACTAACATTTGCCTTAGTCCAGACAAAGAATTAAGGGCAAAGTATTAAGCAGATAGAGATGACAGGTCACCAAAAAGAGTGAGCAAGCTCTGGGTCACTGAGTTAGAAAAGAAGTATCCACGTCAATGTCTAAAAACAGGAAGCCAACTCTGTATACTAAGAACTCAAGGTCTAACTGGTTGGTTCTAAACTCTCACAAATTCTATTTGTTGAGGGGTCTTGTTTCTGAGAGTATACGCCCTTTGAGGTCAAAGAATCATCTTAATTCCTCCAGGAGTTTTCAGTCTCTGAATCTGATGGAAAGGCTGAGTCCTTTAATCTATTTAGGGCTTTCTGATAGAAATTTCTGGATAGATGCACTGGATAGTAAATCTTATGAAGGCTTTCTCTTCCAAGTAGGAAACTGAACCAAGAACAGGGGATAAAAAGGAGAAGCAAATAAATAAACTTTGAAAATAGTTCAGACCCATTTTATCACAGTTCCTAAAACTGAACCTCAACAACACTGAAAACATAGGTTTTCAGCCAATTAAATATTGAGAAAATAAAAACAAATCTAATAGAAAAATAAAAACACTCATGCCATTGCTCTGCATGGACTCAAGCACAGCAACAATTGTGAGGATGACACGGGACCAGGTCCAGTTTCGTTCTGTTGTACAGATGTTGGAACCAACTCAACAGCACCAAACTACAACAGATCAACCTGGTCAGATTTCATAATTCTATACACAAAACATGGATATAACTGACGTTTCCATTCTGTAAGCACACAAACACTCCTCCCTTCAAAGATATCTTTTAAAAGTTGAATGTGAATTGAGGTAGCTTAATGTTTGGTTCATTCTGATTAAATGGGTGGAAAGTACTCTGAACTTCAAATAATTAAAGCCCCATGTCTGTTCTTATGAAGCAAGTCCATTATGAAAACAAGAGTGTTTATAGTTCTTCCTATCTGCATTGCCCAAGAACTCTATCTTTCAGGATGTTGTTATTGTTGTTGTTAGGTTCTGTTGACCTGGTTCCAACTCATAACAACCCCATGTATAACAGAATGAAGCACTACCCAGTATTGTGCCATCCTTACAACAGTAGGTATGGTTGAGAACATTTTTGCAGCTAGATAAATGTTTTTTTCAGGATGTATTTTAGCAAACTTCTCAGTATCACACTGCAATAAAAAGCTTCTGAGAATATGAATTGTTGTTGTTGTTGTTGTTGTTATGTGCCATCAAGTCGGACCCGACTCATAATATGAATACGGAATGATAAAAAAACTCAAAACTCACTGCCGTCGAGTGGAACCCAACTCACAGCAACTCCTCCCTGGATTTTGGAGGCAGTGTCACTGTGGAAGTAGATTGCCCAACCTTCCATCCGAGGAGTGGCTGGTGTGTTTGAACCACTAGCCTTCTGGTTAGCAGTCAAATGCATTAGGCACTATGTTACCAGAGCTCCTACAGAATGATCAGAGATCTAGAAAAGGTACTCAAAATTTTCTAAATATGGAAATATTTTAAAATAATAACTATGAACTAAGAAATCCTGGACAGACAGATAGATCCTAACAAGGAGAAGGGAAAGAGGATAGGAGATACCCGGGAAGGGGTAAATCCGATAAGTAAGAATTATAGCTCTATGAGGGAAGAACCATGCTTGACTTGTTGATCATTGTTATCAGTGATGCTTATGAGAATGCCCAGCTCAGAGCTGACATGCCACAACTATTTGCTAATTAACAAACAACTGAAATCTCTATAAATAAGTTGCAATGCCCTTCAGCTACACCTATTTTATTTTTCGAACATTTTATTATGAACACATTTCAAGAGAAGTTTGAAGAACTGTACAGTGAACATCCACATACACCACCTAGTTTCCACAATTAACCTTTTACTATACTTGTTTCATCACATACATATCCAGTCATGCATTCTTCTATTTATCCATCAACCCACTTGATTTTCAAAGCATTTCAAAGTAAGTTACAAACAACAGCGCCCTTCAATCCTAAACACTTTAGCATGCCTGTGATTAGCAGCTAGAGATCAACCCTCCCTTTTTTGATGGTGAGGTAAAATTTACATACACTGAAATATCTAAATCTCAATGGTCCATTCTGATGAGTTCTGACAAATGTGTACAACTGTATAATCCAAACTCTCTATAAAACGTCAGAATCCACTCAGGAAATTCTCATGTCCATTCCCAGTCCATCCAATCCTCATGGCCCTAGAGGCAACCACTATCCCGAATTTTTTCATTATACATTAGTTTTGCCTGTTTCACAACTTCAAACAAATGGGACCATACAGTATGAATCCTTCTGTGTAAGGCTTCTTTCATTCACTGTTTTGAGATTCCTCCATGTTTGTGTCAGTAATCACAGTAATCCTTTGAGTAGCAGTCCATTGTATGAGTATCCACAGATTTTCTAACCTCTTGTTGCTGGACACCTAGGCTGTTTTCAGTTTGGGAATACTATAAATGTAAGCCAAATAAAGACTGTACACATTGACTGTCTCTGGATGCTCTGCATTCAATAAACAGAATAGATATTTACAAAGAAAGAGAGCAGGTTCTAGTTTTCATTTACTTAAATCTCTACATTACAAAAAAACTCTGCTGATGGCAAAAACAAAGAGAACACAAACCACCGCAGGAAGGCCAGACCCATTGAACTTTAAATGCTCTTTTAGAGGTGTTTTTCTTGTTTCTTGGTTTTTAATTTTTATATTGATAGCGTTATACTCTAGCAGGTATATACCTTGACTGAAAACTGGAAACAATTTAAAACTAAGTGTGATTTTCATTTGGAGTTAAGCTTAACTTATTCCTTAATGACAAATGTAATGTTCTCCTTCTTTAAAGAAAAATTTAGATGTATACTCCAAAGGGCTTCAATGAGAGATCAAGTTTTGTTTTTTTTTTTAAATAACTCTTAAATGTAAAACAATATATGGACGGATAGATAGGTGAACAAGCTAAACAATTAGGTATGTCTAAATGGAGAGTGTATCCAAGATCATATATAGGGTTGGCAGACAATGGGCCTATAAGTTCATGTGAATGATCAGAATTCCCAGGTGTATAGTAGAGCTGACAAGGGGCAAGGTTATGGTCATTGCTTGGTCACAGCCAGCTACCCAGAGGGGCCGAGTAGTTGATCCTGCAGGCTTGGGACCATAGTCGCAGGGGACATCAAGCTCAATTGGCATAACATACTATACAAAACATTGTTCTACCTACTACTTTGGTGAGTAGCGACTGGGACCTTAAAAGCTAGCAAGCTGCCATCTAGATGTAACAACGGGTCTCTCCTCGTCAAAAAGAAAGAAGAAAACCAAAATTACTGGAAACAATCAGTCGTAGCAACTGGTACACCATCCGATCTGCAACCTATGCAACTATGAGACCAGAAGAACTAGATGGTGCCCAGCTACCACTGCCATCCACTTGGAAGGAATGTAGGACATCCTGCATAGAGAGGGAGAACAATGTGGAACAAAACTCAAAATCATTTGGAGGCAAAAAAACAAAAAGGTGGGGACCAGGTTTGCTGGCCCAATGGAGCCTGGTGTAACCACTGAGACTATGGCCCCTAGCCGCCCTTCAGGTCTGGAATTGAACCCACAACTGTGGTTTCCAGCCAAACAAAGTACAGGCATGTGAGTTAAACATTTACCTCAAGTAGACACACGCCCTGGAGAGAACAATCATGGGAGAAGGAAGGGCTGCTTATGCACAGGGAGATAGCTCAGGGTGCAGAAGAGTATGAAGGGATGGACACTGGGAGGAGGTAACTATGGGGAGGAAGTGGGAGGGGAGCTACTGCATTGTAAATTTTGGTCAATGACATGAGACAAAGTATATGTGAACTGCTGTATGAAAAGTGAATTTACTCTGTAAATCTTCACCCAAATCCTAATTAAAAAAAAAAAAAAGAAAAAAAAATGTAAAACAAAAAGCACTGAAATCAGAGCTTGCTTTATTATTGTTATCATTTTTGCTTTTTAAAGAGACACACATCTAATGTCTCAAACTCTCTATTACCGCAGTATTTCTGTCTTGGTTCAAGAGTTTCTGCTGTGCTTCCAGTTTTCAATTAGGTAAAGCCATCCGAGCCCTTCCTCCTCTAAGACCTTTCTCTCGGCCAAAATGAAGAGCCACAGACATTTTGCACACCTCTAGTTTTGTGGCAAACTGGAAGAAGGTTATGCTCAGCCCCTTAAGGCACAGATTTATATGCACCAGGATAAATTAAAACTCTTATTTGAATCTAACATGACAGTAGTCTGAAATTTCATTAAAACAGTATTGGTATCTCTTACACAGCCAAACAAGGATATTATTGTTATCAGTTGAAATGTATATCTGTAGCTTTAATACACTAAAGCCCAACCTTAGTTTCTGAAAACTGGACAAAATACTGTTTCAATAAAAAACATGTTTATGTTATCATTCAAACTAAGCCAAACTGAAAATAAAATAAAGTATCATGCTCAGGCTATGCAAGGTCACACATTATGTTCATGGAAATAATTTCTCAATCTTTAAAATTCACTGACCGTGTTCTTCCTGTCAGTAAGCTTCTTCTTGGATTGCCCCTACAGAAGTAGAAAGGACAATGGGGTTAGAGAATGCTCTGCAGGTATTCTCTCTTGAGTTCACACTATACAAACACACATGCACTCCTGAAATTTTTACTGCAGGGTTTTAACATGGATCTAGACCAAGGAAGGCATTTTTGAGAAGCAGCGGAAAAATGTATTGAGAACATTCTCAGAGAAAAGCAGAGCACAATGAGTTTGATAAAGGCTCAAAACAAAAGGGGAAGGACAAAAGAAGTCTAGAGAAATACAATTAACAGTTATTTTGCATTTTGCATGTGCATTTATAAAGCAAAACACACTCATTTCCCACCACAACCAGGTTTAAGATTATTATTCGCCCCACATTAGCAGGACAAGATGATCTTACAACATACTCAGAGTCACAGCTTCATGAGTCTGAACTGGACTCCAGGGCTGAGGTCTCAGACTCAAGTTTTCTTTCTACTTTCATGGAACTGTGTAGTAGGGAAGGAAACGAATCTCCATGTCATGAGGTTCAAAACGGGGTTTTATCAAATAGATTTTTCCATAATTTAAAAAAAAAACAAACTATTCAAAACAGATTTTCGTTTTTTTACTGAGATAATGATTTTTTTCTAGTTCAGCTCAAAGTCCTTTCCAACAGAAATGCTTTATAAAAAACTTAAAATTTTTTTTTTACAATGTTACTCTGATGTAATCACATCTCTAACCTATCCCCTGCAAAACCAAAATAATGAAAAATGACACACCAGAACATATCCTGGTAAAATATCTGAATTCTTAAGATAAAAGAAACTTGTGAAAGTTTCCAGAGATTGAAAACAAAAAGGTTATATATCAAAAACAGATTTTTGTATTTTCTATATCAACCCAAAGATCTCTTTCATTAGAAGTAACACAACGTAATTACTTAATCTACAGGATGATTAACACAAATTGACAGAGAGAAATTGCAAATCCCTTAGATTTCCTGACACCGTATCATGATATTGCAAGAAACGGCTGAAATTAAGAGTATCTGTTTTAAGAATCCTTAAAAAAAAAAAAAAAATCCTAAAAGTAATATAGATTTCTCTAAATAATTAGGATGTCTCATTTTTATAATCAGTTACTGAACTGAATTGTAGTGCAGTTCTCTCTCAGGACCACAAAAGTAATCTCTGATTGCTTCTTGTTGTTGTTGTTGTTATGTGCCATCGAGTTGGACCAGACTCGTAACGATCCCTCCTTGGGTTTCCGAGGCAGTATCACTACGGATAGTAGATTGCCCCATCTTCCTTCTGAGGAGCAGCTGGTGGGTTTGAATCGCCAGCTTTCTGGTTAGCAGTCAAGTGCCTTAGCCACTATGCTACCAGACTAGTTGAATCTCAATGTTTGTTTTCCATCATTTCCCTCTATTTTCCCGTATATCCAGAAAATATCAGTTGTCATTTCTTATAACACTCAGTATATTTATTTTGTGAATTTCCTCCCCTCTACCTTTCCCTAATTATTCTAACCTCTTCTAATAAAAAGCAAAAACAAAAAATAGATGCTCTTGTCTATGAAAACTCTGCCTATACAAAAAGATTCTGAGTAAAGGCCTTCCTTTAAAAAGAATAAAAGTTTAGGGTGACTGTTGAGATTGCTCAAAGATCTCCATGGTTTAATGTTTGGTTTTTGAAGATGTTACAAAATGTTGAGAGTTAATGATAAACCCTGGAAAAATGAAGTATCACTATCATGCTTTCTGCAAGGCCCCTTCTAGAAGAGATTTCACATGAAGACTTTCATGAAGTCTCTTCCCTTCTCTTTCATGGACTTTGCCCTGCTCCTGTCACAGAGGCCCAGAACACTGATGAGATCAGCCAGGCCCCCACCTGTCCTGGAAGAGACGTGTTGCCAGCATATAGTTCATGGAGGTCTTGTGCTCGAGGTAGGACCTGAAAGGCAAAGAGAGAAACTGGTTTTCTTCAGCTCAGTTCAGGAGGAAAACACCAAACTAAAACTCTGAATCAAGCACTGATGGGACAGGTTATAGGACCCTGTTTCTAAAGATGTGCAGCAAAGGAGGGGACAGTTACTCACATTCATGAAATAGTGGAGTAGCAGCAGATACAACAAAGGGAAAAGAATAAAAGAAATAGAGGACTTAATTTAGAAAATAAAAAGACAGCGGGACTGCTTGGATTAATTAACAATGACACACTAAATTCAGAGTATGAAATTAGAAGATGAAAACAAAACTACCATCCGAAAGCCATGCAGAGCTGGGGGAAAGAGGCTAAATGAAGCTCGAAACAGGAATGCAGCGGAAAGGCCCAGAAACTATAGACGGGACTGTTTCATTATGTCATTCCTCAGCTTTCTTCCTAGACCCTGTCGCATTTACTTTGGACACGTCATCAGGAAAGACCAGTTGCTAGAAAAGGACATGAGGTTTGGTAAAGTCAGTGAAAATGAGGAAAACTCTCAAGGAGACGGACTGAACTAACAGCTGCAACACCATACGCAAACACATCAAAGATCATGGAGATGGTGCAGAATCAGGCACAGTGTCCTGTTATACAGCAGGCTGCCACGCGGCGGAGCTGACTTGACGTTAACTAACAAGAACAACACATCTCAGCTTAAGAGTGTTCAATGGCTCCATAATGCCTATTGCAGGAGGCAGACATGTTTCCTCTAAACTTTCAGGGTTGGATAATCTGACCACCAATTCACTCACTTTCTCCACACAGTTCCCCAACATGGATCTTATAGTGCAGCCAGGAAGTCTCTTTATAAACCTCACACAACACACCTCCCACTAACACTATCCTTGTACTTGGTACATTCTCCTTATCCTCTCCAGTTAACCATAATCTATCATACCTAGCCCTTGTGGTGCAATGGTTAATGCTCCACTGCTAACCAAAAGGCTGGCAGTTTGCATCCACCAGCTGCCCCGTGGGAGAAAGATATGGCAGTCCGCTTCTGTAAAGATTACCACCTTGGAAGCCCTGTGGGACAGTTCTACTCTGTCCTATGGGGTCGCTATGAGTTGGAATCAACTTGACAGCAACGGGTTTGGTTTTATCCTTTAAGAAGCAAATCAATGCACCTAATACATCCTGCTGTGTGAAGCCTTCCCCAGTGTGAATGCTCCAAGTCTGCAGAGAAGGTGCTCTTGTGTGAACTACCCTGGTCCTCACTGTACGCCTGAGGCACCTGCCCTTTACTCCCACGAGCACGTTTTTTCCTTTTAGGAAAGCAGCACAAAGTAGTGGTAAAAAGTAGGAGTTAGAGTCACGATACATCAGTGAAGTCCCAGTGTGTGATCTTGGGCAAGTCATATGACTGTACTGAACCTGAACCTTCATTTACTTTTCATTAAAATGGGAATGACAGCAATGATGTGTACAAAGTACATTTTAATTACAAAGAGCTACACAAATATGTATTATTTTTAATTTATAGGTAAGTAATTTCTCCATCAATGTACTGCTAACTCTCAAAGGACAAGGACCCCACGTGATATTTATTTTATACTCCCAAGTACCATGCCTCCTATGCTGCTTCTCGGGGGCCAGGTGCTCTCCCCACACGACTTAGTGCCACATTGCTGACAGACCACCAGGGAACCCTGTATCAGGAAGTGCATTTCCTACAACTAGATATAACCAGGTCTCGCAACCCAGACTTTGTCAATAACAAAGATGGTGTTTTGGCCTCCATCTATCTCATTGCTTGTTTTACTCCTCAAGTGGTTCAGAACTAAACTGGCAAAAACAGGTATCCTTAGTGAACTCTCCTAAACAGACTTAGAAAAAGGTACTCAAATTAAGGCTCTGTCCCTTGAAATACTCAAAAGTGGAGCGTTCTATCTTCATTCATCAAAAGATCTGTTTTCTAGGAAGTGCTAAAATTCAAACTCTTAAAAGACGTATCAAAAAATATCCTGTTTAATTTTGAAGAAGACCCAAGCGCTATCTTTCTGTGGAATTCTTACATCTTTCTAAGGGGTAACTACCTAGATAGAAATGTTTTCAAGATAAAAGGAAGATTTCTCAAGGAACAGCTGGATTTTCAACACAAAACAAATAACCAATTCCTCAAGTTCTAGCTCTGTGCTCAGAGCTGCTGCACACTTTCATTCCAACAAGGTCCAAAGCCAGTCCCAGGCCAGCAGGAGAAGAAAAACATGTGGTCTATGAACAAGTAGAGATTCTCAACTTCACTAACAATCAGGTACATGAAAATCAAAGACAAAATGAGCTATCACTCATAGTCGCAGGGTGGCACAGATAGTTTATACTTGACCGCAAACCTAAAGGCTGGCGGTTCAAACCCGCCCAGAGGCACCATGAAAGACCTGGCGATCTGCTTCTGTAAAAACTGTGGCAAAAAAAAAGAAGAACCACCCCACTGAGCAGTCCTACCTACTATGTAACAGATGGTCGTCAGGAGTCAGAATCAATTTGACAGCAATGGGTTTGGCTTTTGGGTTTTTTTTATAATCACTGAGCTGACAAAAATGAATGGTGCAATGGTTAACAAGCTCAGCTACTAACCAAAAGAAGTGCCTGGGAAAAAATGCCTGCCAATCTACTTCTCAAAAATCAGCCACTGCAAACCCTATGGACCACAATTATACTGACACACATGGGACTGTCATGATTGCAAGTGACTAGACAGCAACTGGTTTATTTTTCAACTGGTAAAAATTAAGAAGTCTAGCAATATCAACTACCTGAGAGCATACAGAACAGCAGGATGTCTTACGCATTTCTGACAGGAGTATAAATTTACAGTCTCTCTGGGGAAAAATTTACCTTTATCTTCTTTTTTAAAAATTGAAGTGAAATTCACATACCTCAAATAGCCATTTTCAAGTGAACAATTCAGTGGCATTTAGTGTCTTCACAGTGTCGTGCAACCACTACCTCTATCTAGCTCTAAAATATTTTTATCACTCCAAATGGAAACACATAGCCATTAAGCAATTGCTCCCAGACCCCCAGGCCCAAGAAACCACCAATCTGCTGTTTGTCTCTACTGATTTACTAGTTCTGTATATTTCAAATAAACGGAGCTACAATATTGACCATTTGTGTCAATCTTCTTTTAATAGCATGTTTTCAAGGTTCATCCACACTGTAGCATATATCAGTACTTCCTTTTTCTGGTTGAACAATATTCCACTGTAATGTACAAACCATGACTTACTTACCCATTCATCTGTTGATGAATATTCATCTGTTAATGATAAAAGACTATTTGTACCTTTTGGCTATTATAAATAGTGCTGCTATGAACATGCATGTATACATGTTTGTTTGAATACCTGTTTTCAGTTCTTTGGATACATACCTAAGAGTGGTATTGCTAAGTCATATGTCATTCTGTTTAACTGTTTGAGGGGCAGCCAAACTGTTTTCCACAATGGCTGAACCATTTTACATTCCTACCAGCAATGTATGAGGGTTCCAATTTCTCCACCTTCTTCCAACAGTTATTATTTTTTGTTTACATCTTTTATTAGGAGCTCTGGTAGCATAGTGTCTAAGGCACTTGACTGCTAACCAGAAGGCTGGCAGTTCAAACCCACCAGCCACTCCTCGGAAGGAAGGTTGGGCAATCCTACTTCTGTAGTGATACCGCCTCAGAAACCCAAGGAGGGGTTGCTATGAGTTAAGTCTGACTCCACGGCACATAACAACAACAACAACAACTTTTATCACTATTATTATTATTACAGTCATCCTAGTAGATATGAAGTGGAACCTCATTGTGGCTTTGATTTGCATTTCCTTAGAGACTAATGAGGAGCTCTGGTGGCGTACATCTGCCTGCTAACCAGAAAGCTGGCAGTTCAAACGCACCAGCTGCTCGTTGGTAGGAAGATTGGGCAATCTACTTCTGTAGTAATACTGCCCCCAAAACGCAAGGAGGAGTCGTTATGAGTTGGATCCCACTCAATGGCAGTGAGTTTGTTTTTTTTTTATTTTTTTTCAGTGACGAACAATGTATCATCTTTTCATGTGCTTTTTGACCATTTGTATATATTCTTGGAGAAATGTCTATTCAAATCCTTTCCCCACTTATAAACGGGTTGTCTTTTTGTTCTGAGTTGTAAGAGTTCTTTATAAAAGTCAAGGAAAGGAAGGGAACTTACTTCATTGGTTAGGAAAAGGAGGGGGCAGAAATTCCTAGATAAGTTGGGGGGAAAAAAATATATATATACATACACACACATATACACACATACACACACACACACACATATATATGGTGTAGTGCCTAAGGCATTTTACTGCTAACCCACCAGCCACTCCATGGAAAGAAGACGGGACAATCTACTTCCATAAATATTTACTGTCTTGGAAACCCAAAGGGGGTCACTATCAGTCGGAATTGACTTGATGCAGTGAGTTTTTTTTTCTTTAATGTATACGTGTGTGTATATATATATATACACACACACACACACACACACATACATACACACACACCAAAGATTATTAGTGGTTACTAGGGGTAGGAGGGAGGGGGAAAGGGAAAGCTTTTATTTGCAGGGCATTGAGTTTATGCTAATGATGGCAGAATATTTTGGAAAAGGATAGTAATAATGGTGGCACAACATGAAAAACATCATCAGTGTCCCTGAGCTGTAAATGTGGAAGTTGTTAGTTATGTTGGCAAATGCCTTTTCTTTTTTTTAAAACCAAACTCACTGCCATCGAGTCAGATCCAACTTATAGTGACCTCTCCTTGGGTTTCTGAGGTGATATCTCTACAGAAGTAGACATCTCAGTCTTCCTTCTGAGGGGTGGCTGGTGGGTTTGAAACGCCAGCCTTCTTCTGGTTAGCAGTCAAATGTCTTAGGCACTATGCCACTTGCTCCCACAAAGCTGCTGGCAAATATCTTGTGTATGTTTTCACCACAATGAAAGTAAAAAAAAAATAAAAGAGTTCTTTATATAGTCTGTGTACCAAACCCTTATCAAATTATGATTTATAAATATTTTCTCCCATTCTATAAACTATCTTTCACTTTCTTAATAATGTCCTTTGATACAAAAAGTTTTACAGTTTGATGAGGTCCATTCATTATCTTTTAACTGAGAATTCAGCTGAATACTCACATATCATACTAATTCCTCATCTAGATATACACCAAGGAGACACATGCAAGAACATTTACACCACAATTGTTCTTACCAGCAAAAGATCAGCAAGAAGTCAAGTGCCCATCAACAGGAGAATGGAAAAATTGAAAGCAGTATAAATACACCGGAAAATATAATAAAGCAGTGAAAAAGAATGAATCTTAGCTATATGTAACAACATGAATTTGAGAAACATAATGTTGAACAGAAACAGCAAGAGTACATGGAGCATGCCACTGTTTCTTAGAAAAAGTTCAAAAGAAATGAAAACTAAACAGCAGAGTTCCGCTTCTGTACACGAGCGGGCAACTGTCCAGGACGTGCCCTCCCCCCATAAACAATGACGTAAGTGTAGAAATAATATGATCAACACCTGGTAGCACAGGACTGTGATCAGTTACACAAGAGAACAAGTGAAATAAGCACTACAATTGGCCCACCTTTCTGCCAAAGGCAATTCCCAGACTGCAGAAGAGCTGGAATTCAGTTACAGCCCAACAGTCTCTGAGTTGAGATGACAGATAAAATTTCCGAAGGCAGCTAGAATTTGCACAGCAAGTACTGGAGGGGAAGAGGCTATGTAAAAAAAGAATCCTAAATATCATCACAAAGGGACCCCTTGAGTCTTTGGGTAAAAACAAATCTCTCAGTCCTTGGGTGAAAGTCCACGAGACTCGGCCAGAAACAACTGTTGGAGTAAAGAACAATGAACGAGGTCAGGTAAGCCAAATCTGCGTTCTCAGTTCTCACAAATGGATGGAGAGATCTCATTGAATATGGGTCCATTTAATAGACACCCCCAGAAGAGCTACACTCTAGTGAAGGAACTAAGTAGACATATGACAGACTACTCTACGAAACCTTACCAATTCTACTTTTAAATTTTATTTTGTTGTTGTTGAGAATATACATAGCAAAATATACACCAACTCAACAGTTTCTACATGTACCATTTAGTGACACTGCTTCAATTCTTCAAATTGTGCAATCATTCTCACTCTCCTTTTCTGAATTCTTCCTCCTCTATTAATGCAAATTCACTGTCCCTTCAGGTTCCCACCTAATCAAGTTGCTGTTGTCAATTTTATATAAATGGATCTTAAAAGGACACAATGCTTAAGTCAGACATATTTCACTAGTTAAGTTAAACTACTGTTTGGTTTTAAGAAGGCTTCAGGGAATATTTTTGGTTTAAGGTTTCAAGATTATCTCAGGGCAACAGTTTTAGGGTTTATCCACCTCCCACAGGTCCAGAAAGTCTGGGGTCCATGAGAATTTGAAATTCTGTTCTGTACCTTCCCTCTCTTGATCAGGACTCTTCTATAACGTCTTTGATCAAAATGTTCAGTAACGGTAGCTGGGCACCATCCAGTTCTGGTCTCATGGCAAAGGAGACAGACAACTGTTCATGAAGGCAATCAGCTACACATTCCACATCTTCATCCTACTCCTCCTGACTCTCCTCTCCTCCAAAACCTTAACAATTCTTACAAATAACCCTCAAAAAGTTTAAGTTGATCTACAAGTAACTTAAGTGTCCAATAAAACAAATTTCAATAGGCTTTAGAGAAGGGAGTAACATCCAAACATACAACAAAATAACATTTACAATGCCTAGTATACAACTGAAAACAAAGAAAAAAACTGTACTAGCAAAGAAACATGAAAGTGTAACTCATAAATAAGAGGAAAATCAGTCAATAGAAGTAGACCCAGAGGGACAGGTCAGCACAAAATGATCAAGGTAAAGGAAGACAATGGATGCAGTATAAGAGTTACAAACAACAAAGGTAAATACTACTACCTACATACTCCTGCAGTAACAATACTAACAGTCTATGAGTGGATAGATACATAGACAGACATGTGAGCTGAAAAGGCATGAGAAGGTGAATGGGACTACAGCTATCAATATATGTATGAATGTACAGGTTTGACAAAGGATATTTTTATATATGTATTTATGTATATGGGCAAAATTATGAAAACTTCTTAGCTATAACGAAACAACTTAAGGGAATGAGTCACTGGGCCTAGGGGCTCAGGAATATAATCTTAGGGGACATCTAGGTCAACTGGCACAATGTAGTTCACAAAGAAAACGTCTACTGCCCACTTTAAGTCCCCACTTTTAAAAGCTTATGAGTGGTCATTTAAGGTGCAACTACTGTTCTCTCCTTATCCAGAGTAAAGAAGAAAGAAAGAAATCAAAGATGCATGGAAACAATTAATCCAGAGGACTAACGGGCCCTATGAATCCCAGCCTCCAGGACCCTGAGACTAGAAGAACTAGATGGTGCCTGGCTACCACTACCAACTGCTCTGAAAGGGAACGTATCAGAAGGTCTTGGATACACTGAGAGAGAAATGTAGAACAAAACTCAAAACCATAGAAAAGACCAGGTTCACTGATCAAACAGACAGACTGGTGGAACCTCTGAGACTATGGCCCTCACACACCCTTCAGGCCTGGAACTGAACTCACCCCTGTGGCTCAACTTTCAGTCAAACAACAGACAGGTCTGTAGGGTGAACAGTAACACCATGAAGGTATGCAGTCCTCAGAACAATCAACCATTGGAGATCAAAAGGGCAGCATTTACCCAAGGACAAAAAGTTCAGAAGGTAGGAAGGGATGGGAAAGAAGGAGAAATGAAAACAGGAAACACAGAGAGGAAGGGGGATGAGTGATGTTACACTGTGAGGATTGCAATCAATGGCATGAAACAAAATGTGTATGAACTGTTGAACAGTAAACTGATTTGCTCTGCAAACCTTCACCCAAATCACAATAAAAAGTTAAAAAAAGTTTGGAAAAGGACAACAATAATGGTGACACAATGAAAAATGTCATCGATGTCCCTGTGCCATAAATGTGTAAGTTGTTATGTTGGTGAATGTCTTGGTGTATATGTTTTTTGACACAATTAAAAAAAAAAAAAAAGTTAAAAGAAGATATAAATCCAGAAATGACAACAAAAACACAATACACAAAGGTTTTAAAACAGCTATTATGAATATATAAGGATTTAAAGGAAATCTTGAAAAAAGACAAAGAAGTCAAAAGAAAAAGATGGGAATTCTACAAATGGAAAATAAAATCTGAAATAAAAAATTCACTGATGGAAATACATTAGACATTATGGACAAAAAGATGAATGACCTTATCAAGCTACACAGCAATAGAAAACCATTCAAAATGAAGCAAAGAGGAAAAAACTATATGAAGAAAATGAACAGAGCTCTGTGGTATGTGGGATAGTATCAACCACTCTAACATGTCATCAAGGAGCTCAGGTGGTAAGTGGATAAGGCATTTAACTGCTAATCACAAGGCTGGCAGTTCAAACCCACCAGCCACTTCACGGTAGGAAGACTGGGCAATCTACCTCCATAAAGATTTACTGCCTTGGAAATCCAAAGAGGGTCACTATGAGTCAGAACAGACTCAATGGCAGTGAGTTTGGTTTTTTTTTTTTGGTTGACATGTAATCAGAGTCCCAAAAGGAAAAAGTAGAGGAATAGAAAAAATACTTGACATAATGGCCAAAAGTTTTCCGAATCTGATGAGAACTACAAACCCATAGACCCAAGAAGCTGAATGAATTCCAAACAGAAGACATGTGAAGAAAACACCACTATACATTGTTGGTAAAAATGTAAAATGATACTAACACTCAGCATATGACCCAACCATTGCAATTATAGGTATTTCCTCAAGAGAAATGAAATCAAATCCACACAGGAACTTGTACATGAATGTTCAAATAAGCTTTCTTCATAATAGCCCCAAACAGAAATAACTCAAATGTTCCATAACATCTGAATAAGATAAGTAATGTATATTCTTACAATGAAATACTATATAACAATAATGAACTATGGTTTAATACGATAAAATGGGATGAATCTCAAAAAACATCAAGCTGAACAAAAGAATCCAGACAGCCAAGAATACATACTATGTATTTGAAATTCTAGAACTAATCTATAGTGATAGAAAGCAGCTCAGTAGATGTTTAGGCTCAGGGTTCTGGTGGGGAGGGAGGTTCGAACTGTAAAGGGGCATAGGGGGACTTCTGGAGGCAACAGAAATGTTCTCTATCTTAATTGTGGTGGTTATATTAGCATTTACATTTCTCAAAACTCATCACCCAACTGCTTACTCAAAATAGATGCACTATTTTGTATGTAAACCAGATCTCAACAACCAAACCAAACTCACTGCCATTGAGTCAGATCCGACTCACAGCAAACCCCCCTTGGGTTTCCAAAGCAGTATTGCTATGGAAGTAGATTGCCCAATCTTCCTTCCAAGGAGTGGCTGATGGGTTTGAACCGTCAGCCTTCCGGTTAGCAGTCAAATGCCTTAGGCACTACGCCACCAGAGCTCCCAAATCTCAATGATGACTCCAACAAATAAGTAATACATTCTTTAGGTACAATATAGATGACCAAACAATGTTATTTTTCCATCAAAGTAATAATAAACACAACATTCAGGGCAGTCAGTGTCTAAGCCTGAGTTGGAAGGCTAGTTAAGAGAGAGACAGAGGATTTTTAAAAAGGGAGCAACAGACAGATAGATTAAATTACTGTAAAGGCCCTAGTTCTTGGGATGGTAATATTCATAGTATTACAAATAAATAAACAAACATAACATGAAAGGTGCCATGCAGAGACCAATGATGACAGTGTGTCACAATTAATCCAATTCTGTGGACCTGAGGTATAGACAAAAAGGAGGGAAAAAAAAAAGGCAGTCACCTCACCCATATATTTCCCATGTTTCTGATGTAGGGAATATGCGAATAAATCCACCTCTCCGATCGTTCTCTTCCTTCACCCTCCGTAGAACTTTGATCTAGAAAGAAGAAGAGAAAATAAAATGAGTGTCTATCTTGAAAATTGGAATCCATGTGGTTATAAGACAGAGGAAGAGAATTATGACCCAAAAATACGAAGAATAAGAAGCATGAAGGGAAAAATAAATAACATTTAAATGTTGTTTTCTGAGAAGGAGTTTTTCCATCTTGAATTTTTCAGTGTGAGATATGAGCCTGTCATTAGTATTAAGAATCATTCACTTACTTTCACTGAACCCTGTGTTAACCCACAATGGCCTAAAATGGAGTTTTTCTTTACCTCTTCCATTGACAGACCAAGCACTGAACCACCTAACTTCCCCGCCATCTTCTCCTGGGCTGAGCTCACGAGGTTTTTCATTTCTGCATCACTGGCAGAGAGTGGACGGGAACGCTAAGGAGAAGAGGGAAAAAAAAAAGTTTTTGTCATCTTTCTTCATTTTTCTCTGTTCATTCTCTCAACATTATCTTTCCTAATATATATAAGGGAGCTCTGGTAGCATAGTGCCTAAGGCACTTGACTGCTAACCAGAAGGCTGGCGGTTCAAATCC